CCCACCGCATTCAATGCGGTGCACATGCAATTGTCAGTGCCACCCGATTGAGGTGACCCCTCGACCGTTAGATTATCGCCACGTGTACTCTCATCGCATTTATTACTACTATAAATAGCAGCCCCTTCCCCATTGTAAAGGACCAGAACATCTCGAATTCATTAATACAATCGCCTCTCTCTCCTACTTGTTTGCTCTGATTTCTCTCTAGATTATTCCCATAATAACCCCTCGTATAAGCTACCTCCGGGTACACTGTCCATCAGCAATCATATATGAAAGGGGGTGATGTTCACCCTCCTTAGAGGAGGAGGTGAACAAAACTACACTCTACTCATAAAATGACCTCTATCTCATAAAAATTTCACACTTGATTTTTTGGGTGTTTCCAAATAAAATCTTACGGAATATTGTACTTCCCAACATAATTTTGTGTGAATAACATTTTTTTTATTACTCAACAAGCTCGAGCCAGGCCCCACCAAGCAAGCAGGAGAACAAATCAGACGAAAGGATGAAAGGAGGAAAGGAGGATACGGCAGTTTCGGTCAGCAGCTCGACCAAAGATGTGGTTTTGGGAACTACCGAGGAGACAACGGGAGAACAAAAACGCAGACGCATATGGGAGGCAGTGGAAAAAGTGAACCAAGGGGGTGATGGTACGGCACTTGATGAGACAAAAAACGGGAGGAGGTGGGCTTAGAGGGGTAAGCTCGCCACCGGTAGCATGCAGTGCAGAGGGTAGCAACAAGGTGCTGGAGTTTTATGTTTGCTAAAAGACTGAGTGAAGACTTTTACTTTTATGTTTTTATTTACTTTAATGGTTTGATGTTGTCAGTTTGCGTTTTTTTTTTTACTTTTTTGATTGTAAGAATGTGGATTGATTTTAGATGTGGGTGATGAATTGACTGCGATTACCATTTTTGGCTCATTTGTGCTCACTAGTGGATCAGCGAGTTATATTACTGAGGTAATTAACTCTGAGTCTGATTTGAGGGACGGCGGTTTTCAGGAGTCTTTTTGTCGGATTACCTACTATCTAAATGATGTGTTATCAATGTAAGCCTCTTTCATAGCAAAAAAAAAGTTAGTACTCAATAACAATTACGGAGTATAAATTTTCACTTTACTCTCATTTTTTCAACCATTTGGAAGAAGGAAGTACTTCTTAATTGTATATTGTTACTTCTTACATCTCTATATTAAATTTCATATACGAGGTATAAAACTGATTCTAAAAAAAAACTTGATCAACTTTTTTTTTTGGCAAAAAAAAAAGTGTTCCGCGATTCATCTAAAAAAGTTCCACAATTCATCTAAAAAACTCCCCTCATACATCTCGCTTTGCGCCTAAACTTGCGCCTTTTCACGTTTTTTGTGGTCAACTCTTTGATTGAACGGCTTTCACGTCTTCATACCATGAGGGACGTTTCCCCACTGTCTTGCACCTAGGCGCGCCTTGGTCTCGTCTTTTGTTGCCTTTTAGAACACATCGAGTGTCTTCATTAATCCACATAATTTTGTTACTCCAAGGGGCCTCTAGGGGAGGGGGCCGGAGTAATCAGGGCTGAAACTCGTTTCATTGAGTTTCGAACCCGAGACCTAGGGAGATTGAGTCAACCACCAGCTGGACTGGACCGCTTCGTCATTAATCCACATATCTTTCTTTTCTTTTGTTTGTTTGGACAAGAAAGATGCAAGCCATAAAAAAAGAAGAGAGGAATAAGAATTTTTTTGGTGCTTCCTCCTTCATCCCTTAAAACTTTATGATCTTTCTTTTTTATTAGAGAAAGATTTCGAAATGAGTAAATATGCTTTAGAATTCCAAAATTAAAATAGTTATGTTTTTCTTTCCGATATAAGAGTAGCATGACAATATTTACTGTCATTAACATGATAGTATTTGCTTCATTAATGACATTATTTTTCAATTATGACAGTAATGACTCCTATTTCAGAAAAAAACGGTGATCATATTTTCGAATTCCAAAATCTGTGTACCCTAATTTAAGAAAATTTCCCCTTTTGTACGAAAAAGAGGAATAAAAAAACCTAAAGCTTTGTTTATGTGGAGATATGACCCAAATTATTTTTTGGGGTCAAATGATTTTAAGAAGTTCTCTAGTAACTTTTTGTAGTATGTTTTTTTGTTGCAATCTATGCAAGTCTACTATGTTTTTGAGAGTGTTAACTATCAAATATCAATGCAATACCTCATTTCTTACTCTAGTAACTTTTTATATGAAAAAAGCAACCCCTCTGTAGCACAAACTAACCTACGATATACCCATTACAAACTCATTTATCTACATTAAAATTAAACAAGCCCTCACAAAAGAAACATCAATAGAGATTGTAATACTATGTACTCTGTATATAATAAGTATCAAATGAAGTTTATGGTTCAAAAGATTGTCCCTCAAAATATGTCAAAAACTAGCATATATAACATTTAACTAAATAGAACAAATTTTAAGTTTTTTTTCGATGAATAACAGAAACATGTTTCTATCAAAAGTGTAAACCACATAAAAAAAAAGGTTTTATAAAATGGACTAGATGATGGGACAATATGCACGGCAGATAGCGGACTAGATGGTGGGACGAAGGACTGGCTGTTGTTGGCCGACAATGGGTTGGGTGTTGGCATAGTAGGAAGAATGAAATCGAGCAGTTAAGGGGAAGGAGTAAATCTGCCTGGGGAGGTGTTGATTGTACGTGGGAGGTAGGGGAAGATTTATATGGAGAAGCAGGTGGTATACTTAAAGACTTGAACGGATAGACATTCTCATAAAACCTAACATGACGAGATATAATAAATTGGCCGATGTTAGGATCAAGACAGCAATAACTCTTATAACTAAGTGCATAATCTAGGAAAACACACTGAATGGGAGCGGAGATAATTTATTGGATGAAGTAGCGAGAATGTTCGGGTAACACGAAGTACCAAACACATGCATAAAACAAAAATCAGGATTTTTATTAAAAAAGCTTTTCATAAGGAGAAAGACAGACAGAAGAGATGAAGGTAATCGATTAATGATATAAACAACCGTGAAAGTAACATCATGTTAAATATTCATAATGTGATCTCCTACTTGTGAAATGTGTGACTAAATTGTAGTGTAAATTTTCTTTCGCTAATTTTTCTCTCTAGATACGCCATTGAATGATAGGTGTGCTCATTATCTCACGGTCGAGTCTTGATTGCAGGGTTAGGCTGTATGGGATTGCTTGCGACAACAATACGAATTTTGATATACAGACGCCAACAACAAGAAAAGGAAGTGTGTGAACATCTTATCTGAGAGGAGGAAGTGTATGGACATCTTTATCCAAGAGAAGGAAGCACATGACTACATTAGTATCTTATCTTAGAGCGTGAAGCAGTACTAAACTCCAAGGGTTACACTAGCGACAAACAAAGCTCTTCAACGGAGAGAAAATAGAGAGAGCAACAAGAAGCTTCTTACAAGACCGACTACTGGGCACAGCCGGATTCGGTGAAGTGTTCAAAGGAACACTGGATGATGGAATGGTGGGAGCCATCAAATACACGGAGGTGTGTGACGCTAGAGGGTCGGACTAGATTCTGAATGAGGTGAGAACATTGTCTCAGGTGAACCATAAAAATCTGGGACGCCTTTTAGGTTTTTGCGTAGAGTTGGAACTGTCTGTGTTGGTCTTTGAGTACATTTCCAATGGGACTGCTTAATCATCTCTGTCTGATTAAGTAGAGTTGTCCTCCGCCGTGTTGTCCTTCCAATCTATCATCGAGATGAAAGTCAGTAAGACTTTTGGATGAGAACCTCAATGCAAAGGTAACTCTCACTCATGATTAATTATACTCTTACAAATTGTTCCACCAAAACATAAATACAAGTTCAAAAGGGCTTGTATTAAAAGAACAAAACAATTAAATTTTCTCAAAAATATAAGCCAATGAATCGTATTATGAGAAAACAATAATGATACTCAAATTTAAGGAGGAAGTATGGTGTATTATAGTCAAGATTGTGTTTTAAATTCATCGTTTACTTTTTTATTCAAACTTTTTAAATCTTTACATTCAATTACTCAAAAATTATGCTTCATCCCTCTCAATTTCTAGTCTGAGTTCACACTTTTATGCGGAGTACAAAATAAAATTTGAGTGACTTACCACATATGTTTTCCCATAATAAAAGGTACTATGTACTAGACAAAACGAGTAATTGATGCCTTGATGGTCTGCCTCTCATTCTCTCATAGGATCAATAAATACTTTATCATTAAATACGTAGAATTATCATAGAATTCTTACCATTCTTAGTCATCCGACGACTATAATGTCACTGGCATTTATGCATTTATGATATTCGACTTTAATTTTTTCACTTTTAATCCTTCAACTATTGTGTCAAAGACATTTTGGTAGCCATCTTTGAAAATTTTCACATTTAATCTTTTGATTTTCATAACAATGACACATTTGCTTTAAATGAGTTTTTAGTACGTCCTGTGATTCTATGAATATAGAATATTTTGTTTTACATAATTAAGGGAGATCATATTAGATTCTTTTGTATTTATTGTTATTTTTGCTATTGGTTGTAAAAACCAATAGCGTTATCTTGAAGATAATTGTGCAGTTAAATGAGCAGTTATCTTTAAGAATTAATTTGAATGCGTTCCCGATTGAAGTTTTAGCTCAAATTTGGTATGAGTAAACTAGACTTGATGAATAAGATGCTCAAAAAATTTCATCAAAAAATTCCACCGGAAACAGCCCCAAATCGCGACGGCCGGACTGAGCATCCTAAAAAAGGACTTAATTGACTTTTTAATGAAAGTTCGAGAACCTATTTGACAGTTTTCTTTACATTAATTAATAAAATTTAGTCAAAATATAATACGGAGTATATGAATAGTGTAAAAAATCAGATTTTGCAATTTTTTTTTTGAAATAAATCAGATTTTGCAATTAAAAGTCTGATCCCACAAATTCGAGTTTCACATTGCTACTTCCAAAGTGTGCAGAAATGATGAAAAGGAATGATTATATCATCGAGAAAAATGTGACAAAGGCGTGAAATGGTCTCTCTTCTCTTTCCAGTCATTCTTTCCACGGCAACGGGCACCCAAATCTAAAGACCCCATTCCCACTCACTCACCGCTGATATGCTCTATAACATCACCGGATTTCCTCTTGCCCGGCAGCCCGATCCCCGTTTTCCGGCGACCCAGAAATGGAAAAAGAACCCCTCCTCCCATACGCGTCCTCCCCAAGGACACCGCCGCCGCTCTCCCTCTTTTCCCTACCGGAAGACACTGAAATCACAATCATCCCCCACTCCCACTCCATGACCCCTTCAGAATTCAAAGAAAAGCTCATTTTCGGGTCTCCTCGAGCCCCACGAAAAGAATTGAAAATACCCAATCCTGACGAGGCTTTTAAACCGGACCCCAAATCGAACATCGATCGTATGAATTACCCATCGCGGGAAAAAAGCAATCTTCACAGGAGCAGGACGGCACCCGCCATGGCTACAATGGATGATGTTCAGCAGCAGCAGCTGCAGCACTGCTCAGGCAAACCACAATTCGGGAACCAGTCAATTGTGAGGCAATCGGTGATGCTTTTGATGGTTTACTTGATTCTTGGTGTGTCAGTGTATTCTTTCTTAAGGGGAAATTTTAAAGGCTCAGAGACTCACCCCATTGTTGATGCTTTATACTTTTGTATTGTCACCATGTGTACTATTGGCTATGGGGATATTACACCCACTACCCCTGCTACAAAGCTGTTTTCCATTCTTTTTGTGCTAGTAGGGTTTGGGTTTATTGACATTTTGTTGTCCGGGATGGTCGGTTATGTGCTTGACTTGCAAGAGAACTATCTGTTGAAGAAAATCAAGTGTGGGGGTTCACATGATCCCGGTTCGTATATAATAGATGTGAAGAAAGGTAGAATGAGGATAAGGATGAAGGTGGGGTGTGCATTGGGGGTTGTTGTTCTATGTATAGGGATTGGCGTTGGGTTTATGCATTACGTTGAGGAGCTGGGGTGGTTGGACTCGTTCTACCTGTCAGTTATGTCAGTTACCACTGTTGGGTATGGGGATAGGGCATTTGAGTCACTAACAGGTCGAATTTTCGCTTCCGTTTGGTTGCTCGTGTCGACGCTTGCGGTTGCCCGAGCCTTTCTGTACTTGGCGGAGGCGAGGGTTGATAAACGGCATAGGAAGATGGCGAAGTGGGTGCTCGATCAGGATATGACTGTTGCTCAATTTCTTGCTGCAGACATTGATAACAATGGTTTTGTGAGGTAAGGATTTGGACTTTTAATTTCTTCGGATCATCCATGGGTTCTTTGATTCCCATTTTACTCTATTAAGATTTGATGTTTATACTTATATAAGAAGTAATACATAGTCTTGTATGTTAGTTTTTTTTATTTATATTTGTTCGTGTAATGGCTTAACTAGTATAAGTTGAAGAGATAGGTAAATGAAGTGGTAGTTAAGGTATGTGATTCGAGGCCTGTTTAGTAGCCTAAAGTGACTTATTTGGCTGAATTAGATGTTACTGAACATTTTTCATTTAGAAAATTCAGCAAATTTAGGTATTCAGCCAAAATACCTCTTACCAGACATGAGTCATGCTGTTAGTCTAATTTCTCTTCAAGGCATTGCTGGTTGAGAATTTCTGAGGGAAGGGGAGGGGGTTAATTTTAGACTAGAAAGGCACCTTATGTTTAGTTGAATCATCTACTTGTATAATACCGGAGCATCACCCATCTTCTCCCTCGGCTCACAAATCTCCCAAGTCCCAACCAAATAAGGGCTAAGAGCTCAGCTTGTGCATCCTTTAAAAGTGGGATGGGGTTTAGCATTGTGCATCCTCCTGAAGTGGTTATCAGTTTCCTTGAAATATGCACATCAATTAATTTTATTTAAACTTTTCTCTTTCTGTTTGAAATTATGCGATTAGTTGAACTTGAATAAGAGCTTTTGTTCTTTTTAAAAAGTATAAGAACGTGATTGCGGTGGCTTTTCACTTTTTAATTCCGGTTTCATATTTGATTCATGTTAGCCGACCCCAAACTCTTTTGGATAAGGCTTGGATGTTGTTGCTGCTGTATTTGGATTCTGTTCAATGCAATGGACCATCCATCCTTATATTTGTGATAGGGCAAATGTCACATTGTGTCACTAAAACATTAGTGAAAGTCTACTGATAATGGATAGAATCCAAAGCTCCAAACCCAAATCCAAAGTTACAATATGACAAAGGTTTACGTATATATTATGACGGTTTGAGTCTGAGAAATATACGATACAATATGAAATGCATTTTATATAATGGAGTACTATAAATGCATTATAATTATTTCTATTTAAAATTTGTGCATATTATTGTTGTATTAATTAATTTATAATAACAATAAGACTGAAATGATGATGAAGAGTTGTTGGCTATGGACAGTAAATCTGAATTTGTGATATACAAGCTGAAGGAGATGGAAAAAGTGACAGAGAAGGACATAATGCAGATCTGCAAGCAGTTTGATCGTCTGGACACAGCCAACTGCGGCAAGATTACTCTTTCTCATCTCATGGTGTTCTGATCAATGGTTTGCAGCTAATCAGTTGCAAGTGTACAAGCAAGCAGTATAGAAAACATTAATATCGTCCTATACTTTACACCTTCCATGAATACTTCTTGGGGCAAGAAGATATATTCAAGATTTTATCATTTCATCCTATTTTCGATGCATTCAAAAGTTTTGTCACCTGTTAATGAATACACCATTGGTCCCAAATTACAATGTTTCAATTACTATTCGTTATGTATATCATTCTTACCTCTTATTTTTCATTCATGTGGAGTACCTTTTTACATGGCTCTACAGCTCTACTAACATGTACTCCATCAATTTCTAAATAATTATCTCACTTTCCTTCTGGAGGTGTTCCGTTTCCCCTGAAAAAAGAATCTACCTCAAAACCAGTTAAATTACATTTTAATAAAATTCCGTTTCCCCCTTTTACATGGCTCTACTAACATGTACTCCATCAATTTCTAAATAATTATCTCACTTTCCTTTTGGAGGTGTTTCGTTTCCCCTGAAAAAGAATCTACCTCAAAAGCAGTTAAATTACTCCCTCCGTCCCGCTAAGATTGTCCCATTTTACCTTTTCGGGAAGTCCCACTAAGATTGTCTCATACCATATTTGGTAAAGATTGTGTGGTTCTAAATCATTCTAACTTTATTCTTACTTTATCAATTTAATATCAACCACACAAACCTACTTTTCTTAATGATCATGCCACCTTTTCTCGTCCCAATCTTAGTGGGACGGAGGTAGTACATTTTAATAAAGTTCCGCTACAAAAGTTGAATGAAAATAATCTCTATTACTGTTTTGTTTCATTGAGCAAGACACCATACTGGCCAAGGGGAGTAGTATATTACCTGTTTCGTCCCGCTTAATGGTCTCATTCAAAAATCACACTTTTTAGGTAATTGTTAAATAAAATAGTTTGAATGTAGTTTGATGATAGGTTTGAGTGAGTAGTGAGTACATTATATTATATAATCATGTAATTGATGATAATGATGGTCGTTAATTAGTTCATAAAATTGAATGATAATTTTTATTTGAGACATCTAAAAAGTGAAGTTAAACCCTCCCAATGAGATGAAATTGGATCGTGAGATCGTTACACCTTGCGCATGATGAACATGTCTAAAGCAACATCGTTTTATTTATGAAAAAATAGGGTATATAACTCATATTCTACTCCGGCCATCTATTCATCTTCGCTGATATGTTTGTGAGTTTGTCCATTTTGTTTATCTATTCATCTTTTTCGTCCAACTGTTTGCCAATCTAGAGCTCTTATTGCAAGATATGTCCGACCATCTATTCTCTTCTTCTCAGGCCATCTCCTTTCCCTTTTCTTTTCTTCTCTTCCCCATTAGTTCATAACGGATGTTGTATAAATTTAAAATAGAAATTCATATTTGTATTTGAAGGCTTGTAACTTTTGTTCAAACTTTATGACAGAAAGTTTCACTTTTTATCAATTGTTATAGTATACAACTTAATGGGTAAGAATACTAATCGTTACATAACTGTTACACTCTTTTTTGCATTTTCTTGAATCGTGTTCAGTTCATGACTACATTATAGGCAACTTTACTTAACAAGAGATGTGGAAGTATGAGGGGAGGTCTCACTCTCTATCAATTAGACAGGGCCGGCCTGAGGAAAGTGGAGGCCATAGACGAAAAACATTATTATTGACATATTCCCTCCGGTTCTTATTTAAGTTTCTGGTTTGACTTCACACATATTAAGAAATAAATTTGACTTTATTGTGAAGTGCACTGTTTGGCACTGTTTTGGCGTAAATCATTTGCCAAATAAGGAAAGGTTTGAAGTAGGAACTTTAATATGTACCATCCCAAAAAGGAAAGTATGAACTTAATTGCGGGACGGAGGGAGTATTATACTAATGTTTCATTTTGGAAAGTCTCACTAAAATTGACTCATATCAAATGTGGTAAAGTTTGTGTGACTCTAAAGCATTCTTACTTTATTCTTACTTTATCAATTCAATATTAACCACATAAACTCACTGTTTTAATAATCGTGACACCATTTCATGTCCTAATGTTAGTGGGGACGGACATATGTAACACTATAATTAAAAAAAGTTATAATTTTTTTAAAGAAAGAAAAGCTTATACACGAGTATGAAATAACTTAAATAAAACACACAAGTAGGATAAACAAAGTGCATTCAAAATTAACCGTACTGTTTGTGAAAATAAAAAATCAAACTAACAAAGTAAAAAAGTATTGAAAATTTTCTCTAAGTATTATTGAAATTAATCATAGTCACTAGAATTAGTACTATTACAATCGATCATTTAAAGTATAAAATTACATACTTTTTTTTTATCTATTTCACCATGTATATTATCATTATTTCATATAATTAGTGCTTCAATCATACTACGTATTAGATAAATATTTACTTCAATTGTTTTCGAGCTAGTGGGCTACTAAAATTTCATTAAGCCGATTACTTTATTACCGATATAACTATTTATCATATAAGTAGTAGTTTTTTTAGTAAAGCAATTTCTTTCTAAAAAAACTGAACTGCGAATTAAGTTGAAAATAAAAAGATAAAGCTCCTTCCACAACCACCCGTCATCTGCCGACAAGTTGACAAGGTGCAGTCTCCTTTTGTGGATTTCTATGAATTGTAATTGATTGAGAGTTTTGGTCATGCAATTACATTTTTCCTTGGTTTGTTGACTCCCGATTCCCAGATTACATCTACTACTCCGTATTACTATTATATTAGAGGCCCCATGGAATCGGAGGCCCTAGGCAATTGCCTGGGTGAACTCCCCCCATAGCCGGCTCTGCAATTAGATTAGGGGTGGGCAAACGGTACTGGAACCGCGAGTCGGGCCGGGTAATACAGGTTCGGGCCGGGTTAGGATCAAGTCCTAATTTTAGAAAACTCAAAACAGTTCGGGGCGGGGCGGGTCCTGAAAAACTTAGGAATCGAACGGGTCTTAAAATTTAAAAAAACAGGTACCCGGACCGGACCGTTTTAAAATATTACTTTAATAATTTCTATTATATTTAATACTAGTATACTTTAATATACTAACAGTACACGAAAGTTGTTCATGTTCTTGTGTCCAGACAAAGACTTCCAATTAAAGACACTTCTCAATCTATTAAAAACAGTTTCCAAATCGATATAATTACACTCCTATATTATTTCCTCAATTCTTTATTCCAAATGCATCAAACTTTTTTCTTTAATATTTTTTTGTCTACTCAATGAAATGTGACATATTCATATAATTACCTTAATTTTACTTATACTAGGAGATTTAATAGTTTTAAATTGTTTTTATAGACTAATATGTATATTAACTAGTTTAAATTCTTATGAATTTATGGTGCTACGTACTTTTTAATTAGTTTATGAATGATGATCAACATTTTAATTAAGGTGATTGTTTGATGTTTAATTAATAGATTTGTGGTTCCGTATTTTGTTATCTAATTTAAAATGTTGTCTTATACTTTTATTTTGAATTTTTACAATATTATGGTTACATTAATACGTAATTAATTTGAGAATTTTATAACTTACTAGAAACTATTATTGCATAGCCGTATTTTTTTTACAAAAAAAGAATTGAGGACTCGGACCGAACCGGTCCGTTTCAGGTCCGGTTCCTATTTCGAAACTTCGTATACCCGGACCAAACCTACCCGTTAAATGGAACCGGCGGTTCTTGAAAATTTACCAATTACCCGGACCGATCCGGACCGTGCCCACCCCTAAATTAGATAGTGATTAGAATCAAATTAATTCTCTCAAAAAATTGTTCGGCCATTTCAAGGGGGCCTCGGGGATGGTCTGCATCCCTCCTCCCTCCCCCTTAAGACTGGATTCGGGCCGGGTCGGGTCCGGGCGGGCCGCCGGTTTTTAATAGGTGGGACCGGGTAGCCACCGGGTCCGGTCCGGGCCAGGCCTCGAGTCAATTTTTTTTTCCTTTTCCTAATTAACCCCCCCTCACCCCCAACCTCCCAAACCACCCCAAATGGCCCAAAATACCCAGCCCAACCCGAAAAGTTAAAAAAATTGGAAAAAAAATTAAAAAGCCCGGAACCGGACCCGAACCGGCCGGGGCGGTTCGGCTTTTGGGTGACCCGAGCCCGCATCGGGAACCCCCCGGGCCGGGCCTACCCGGACCGGTCACTGGCCGGGCCACCGGGCCGGTTCAGCACAATACTAGTCCCGAGCCGGTTCCGGGTCGGGCCACCCGGCCCGAGTCCAAGACTACTCCTTCTCCTCAATGATGAGATAAAACAATTTTAATTCTTGAAAGAAAATCAGAAACCATTTGAAGAATCGTTAACCATTTGAAGAATCGTTAATCCAACATTGATATGGTTCTCAGATTTTTTTTGAAGAACTAATATCAGAGTCAATAATACCATATGAATGAAATTCTTGTATGTAGTCAATTAATGATTAAGAAATAAAATTATATCTAACTATTACTGTATTTCGTCATTAAACTGCTAACAAATAAAAATATCAAACTAATAAATACTTCAAGGTAAATACGTAAACAAATTTTAACAATCTATAGAAAAGAAAACAATTATTAAGTAAAAAGCTCGATTGCACCTGCTCTCATACCACATATAACAATGAGTGTAACAGTTGTGAAACAATTAGTATCCTTACTCATTAAATTTTGTAATACTTCGTATAAAAATTGATCTTAAAGAGATCGAGTTTATTGATCAATCACCCAATTTTGAGTTTTCTAGTTAATAAAAACAAATTTGCATTGGTTGCTTCAGCCTCATTTAGGGCTTGTTTGCAATCAATTAAAAAAAGTGATTTTGACTTTTTTTTTTAAGAAAAAAGCACTTATTTTACCAAACACTATCAACTTTTAGTTCCTCGGTTTTCGTGTAGAATCTACTTTTTACTTTTTCTATTACACAAAAAGCACTTATTTTACCAAAAACTACCAACTTTTACTAGTAATCACTTTTTCCCAAAAAGTGCTTTTATTTAAGCACAAGTAGTTGAAAACAGAGACTTATTCTTGTAGAACTAGGCATTGCTTAGGCATGACAATGGATCAGGATGGAGTGGGTAGTGCAAGACTCGGACCGGCCCCATGCAAATCCTGGATGCACCCGAGCTTAATAATCTACGAAGGTATTATGCATATCAATTTACGTAAAGTTATTAGAACTTGAATTTACATTTTTAACCTCCAAATAATTATAAAAACACTATTATAATAATACAAGGTCACAGTGCAAACAAAG